CTTTGTTTTAATTTGAGCTCATTTTGTTACTCAGTTCCATATAGCAGGATTGGGTATACACAATCTTTGACCATTCTCATTTTTATTTTGTTGTTTTTCTTTCTAGATGTCAGTAATTACACAAGTAAAGAACCCATTTTATTCCAGTAGTGCATTAGGCATAGGATGCTGGACTCTAGATGTTTTATAAACCAATTGGCACTTGGGGGTGATGTGGTCAATATAGCGATGGTCGCCTTTATTCCCAGGACACTACATGGTACCAATTTTCAGCTGAGTCGACCTGAGTCAATTTTGACTCTTTTCAGATTTGAATCCAAGGCCTTCAGGGTGGCAGGCGAGCATCTAGTCACTCTCTCTCAAATACACATATACCAACATAAAATCATATTAAGGGAACACTAACAAGAAATCTCATGATAAATAATACTACACCAATTGTAACTACACAACTCAACAGAGCTTATAAACATCCTAGGTCAACTTAAAACATATTTAGATTTTGGATCCCAGTAATGATCATCAATATGCAAGTAATGATTATCAATATGCAAGCACAATCAACACCCTTAAACCGATTTAACATTTGCTGATAGAGACCCAAAAAAAAGTGTATCTCAAGGGTAATACCTAGTTAATCAATCAATCTGTGACTAAAGATTTACAACTGAGTAAGTCACTTATTTAAGCAAAGCAGTAAGTTTTCCTTTCAAATAATGAACATGTGTGAAAACTCTCCTCATTTAGGAAATTTAACAAATAGTAACAATGTTATACTAAGCATTTATGAAAATTACCAGATACTAACAACAGCCTGACTGTAATGGAAAAAGATGTAGCAACATAAGGAAACCTGAAGGAGGGTAGAATAGATTATTGAAAGAATATAAAATGACATGGGATACCATAGGCAGAAAAGCAGCTATGGAGGTCATCTGTGAATGCCTTATATGTCAACAGTGACACAAAGAGAAGACATAAATATGACAGAATTACCAGAGGATCACCATGGCTTTTCTGACCATTCCAAGATGAATGCCCCGGAAAGGTACCTGAGTGAGTCACAACAAGACATTTCATAATAACCTTACAAGATGAAGACAAAAGCCCTCATAAATTGTCTTTGATAAGCTGCCGCAGGTCTCCTAAGTAAAAGCCAATCTCCAAAAGCATCGCTCGTAAGTATACTCTAATGACATAAAATACTGTCAGAAAATCAGTTGTGCTGAAAAAGGAATCTGCCAGGGCAAAGAACAGTGTTGATGGAATGAATCCTCTGCCATACTCCACCATCCAGGTACCAGCGGTCCAGGATACGGCTGTGGCTTCTCCCATTCCATGGAAAACTGTGTCACCTGGAGAGCAACAAAACATGTCAATGCCAAATGCCATGGAGTTACTACAGTCCCTACCATTTCCTCTAACTATCTTACACTTACATACAAGGGATAGTAAAGAAATAAAGGATGTGTACAATGGCTCTCGTGCAACTCCCATGACAGTTACTCTACCATAACACTCAAAACCAAACCATTAAGGAGTTAACACACACACACACACACAAACATTTATTACAATACATGGAAAACGATAGTGACCCGAGGAGATTTCCGTCTTCAACTACCCCAATACAATCTGCCCAGAGGTGCTTTAAAATCAACACCCACAAATGGGACCTATGGCTGCCTCCAGCATTACCGGATCTGAGCATCACCCATCAAATAAGCCCCCTCTAAATCCAAGTACAGCAACTTCTGCCACTGCGCCAACCCCCAACTGCTCAGATGGAATGTGTTGCTGAGGTTAATCTAGTCATTCCCCAAGGACCATGCTGTTCCAGTGTCTTAGCTAGTGCATCAATTCATTCCCCAAGGACCATGGTGTTCCAGTGTCTTAGCGCTAGTGCATCAAGTTATTCCCCAAGGACCATGCTGTTCCAGTGTCTTAGCTAGTGCTTCAAGTCAATCCCCAAGGACCATGCTGTTCCAGTGTCTTAGCTAGTGCTTCAAGTCATTCCCCAAGGACCATGGTGTTCCAGTGTCTTAGCGCTAGTGCATCAAGTTATTCCCCAAGGACCATGCTGTCCCAGTGTCTTAGCTAGTGCATCAAGTCATTCCCCAAGGACCATGCTGTCCCAGTGTCTTAGCTAGTGCTTCAAGTCATTCCCCAAGGACCATGGTGTTCCAGTGTCTTAGCGCTAGTGCATCAAGTCATTCCCCAAGGACCATGCTGTCCCAGTGTCTTAGCTAGTGCATCAAGTTATTCCCCAAGGACCATGCTGTTCCAGTGTCTTAGCTAGTGCATCAAGTCATTCCCCAAGGACCATGCTGTCCCAGTGTCTTAACTAGTGCTTCAAGTCATTCCCCAAGGACCATGCTGTCCCAGTGTCTTAGATAGTGCATCAAGTCATTCCCCAAGGACCATGCTGTTCCAGTGTCTCAGATAGTGCATAAAGTCATTCCCCAAGGACCATGCTGTTCCAGTGTCTCAGATAGTGCATAAAGTTATTCCCCAAGGACCATGCTGTTCCAGTGTCTTAACTAGTGCTTCAAGTCATTCCCCAAGGACCATGCTGTCCCAGTGTCTTAGATAGTGCATCAAGTCATTCCCCAAGGACCATTCTGTTCCAGTGTCTCAGATAGTGCATAAAGTCATTCCCCAAGTGTCACAACTATAGGAGGGCCCTAGGAAGGGTAGGGTTCCTATACAGGAGGTATCTTCAGTCTATAAGTGTGGCTCACTAGAAGTATGGTACTTCATTGTCTACAAGGGTAGAGAGACCGAGATATTGCTCCTGGGACAGAGGACAGGAAGATAAGTCTACCCTGCTCCGATGGGTGGTGCTAGGCCGACTAGGTATCCTGGTGGCAACTCCTCTGCCACTTTTAAAGAAAGAGCCCCCAGAGAAAGAAAGCGAAGAATGCCCCTTTCTCGCTCACTCAACTATTACTCACGCACAGCAACAAAGACAGACGAGAATAGTAGTGAATGAAGAATGATGTCGCTTTAATTCTACTGACAGCTGACTGGCTAAAAATTGACAGTGGTTTGGTGTTTGATTTTAAACCAAATGGTTATCATCATAAGAGAAATGTCTACTGGGTCCAGTTCCTTCCCCGCACGAGTACAGCTCACCCGTGGATACTCCCAAAGGCTGGACTTGATGGGGAAACCGGAACACTTGGCTTCTTGTAGATCTTATTTCTTGTGATATCCTCTTGTAGATAATCCACCGCTGATGTTCTTAAAGTTCAGATACGACACGTGGTCGTTTAGAAAATTCGACACGTGGTCGGTTACAAATACGACTAGTAGTCGGTTATGAATACTGGGATTAAATCCCTTAAACTGTCTCTTTGTCTGTGCCGATTCTATGGCGACATGACAATGGGTACAATTGTGTACTAATCGTTGAGTCCTTGGTGTTATGAAAAATGCCGCAGGGCTGGGGGAAGATAGTAAAAGCCCTCATGAGCGTGTGCAAAAAAGGAACACGTGGTTTCCCGAATTTGCTGGTCCTCTGGGCCCTTCAGAATTTATTAACTGAATTAAATATTAATATAATTCAGTTACGATGGTTTACACAGTACACCGCATTTAAATATTAGCTTCAGTACTAACTTGTAAAGGTAAGGTTAAACGCACGTGGCCATATATATTTTTATATCGGTCAATTCCCGAACTCCCGCCAGCAAATTCGGGGATAACAAATTTAATATAATGCTACATTAATAGAAATTAAGGGTACACTTACAGAAGATTCACAATTAGAAAAAGAGTGCCAACTTACCCCTCAGATCGGTCAGAAATCACTACCGTAATCCAGAACGAATTAATATAGAACTACACTCGCTAATCTGAATACTGAACTTGAAAAACTACCGATCTTCACTCGACCACGTTTGGAACTGCAAAGACCGGAAGATGGCGGCTTCCGCTCAAAATGGACGACCCACGTGACGCCAGCCATGCGCATGCGCCAAAAAGATAAAGCGCCCTCTGGTACGTTCTATTGATTGGTCGAACAGGGCACTTTGATTGGTTGCAAAACTAGTAATCCATGAGTTAAATGTAACTAGCCCTATCCGGTTTTTAGCGGAAAGTATTAGGGGAAGGCCGGTTGCTAGGCGACGCGAAAATCTCATCGAAGTTGTGTAAGCACTCGCATCCTCTAACTTCTAATATATATATAGCTTCTGCCCTAAAACTATAAGGTAACTAGGGGAGCGTCAGTGGTCATTGCCAGTACTGTCACATAGGCCCCCCGTAAAAAAAAAAGTTCTGGGATCCAAACTTTTTAGAGACTAAGATGACCATCTGGCGTATCTCCTTCATCTAGGTTAGCTTGATCATTCTCCTCTTCTGGAGGGTGACGACTCAGGAAATCTGCTCCTACATTCTCTTTCCCCGGAATGTACTCTACTGTAAAAGTGTAGGGTTGGAGTAACAGTGACCATCTCATCAGCCTAGTGTTGAGCTTCTTAGATGCCGCTAGAAACATTAGAGGCTGGTGGTCACTCTGTACTTTAAATTTCGTTCCGTACAAGAATGGCTGGAATTTCTGCACTGCCCATACTAGTGATAAACACTCTTTCTCAATGGTTGAATAATTTCTTTCAGCACCGTTGAGCTTCCGGCTGGCATATGCTATCGGAAACAACATGGATGGTTCTTCTCTACCTTCCTGGAGTAGGGTCGCTCCTATTCCTATATTACTGGCATCAGTCCTCAACGTAAAGGTTTTAGTGAGGTCCGGGAGCTGAAGAATAGGTTTGGAGGTTAGCTTTCCCTTGAGCATAGCGTACGCTGTCTCACAGTCAGCTGACCAACGCACCATCTCTGGGGCTCCCTTTTTTGTAGCATCTGTAAGTGGGGAGGCTATCGTGTTAAAGTCTTGTATGTACTTTTGATAGAACCCACACAGAGATACAAAGGACCGCACATCCTTCTTAGTTTTTGGTCTAGGTGCCTTGTGCAACTTATCTACGTTCTTTTGTTCCGGGCACATATATCCCTGTGATATGGTGTGTCCCAGAAATTCTAGTTGTCCAAAAGCCAGTTTACATTTAGAAGGCCTGGCTGTTAACCCCACTTCTGCAAGCCTTCCTAGCAAAGTGTCGAGAGTGTTGAGGTGTTCTTCAAAATGCTCTGACGCGATGAGGATGTCATCCATAAAATGTTGTAGCGTTGGCCGTTTTAATGGGCCTAACAGCATTCTCATCATGCGGGTAAACACACTAGGTGCATTGCTAAGACCGAATGGTAAGACGTTGAACTCATAGTGCCCCTCAGGGGTGCTGAATGCTAAATAAGGGCGAACTTCTTCTTTAACTGGGATCTGGTAGTACCCCTTACTGAGGTCTATCTTGGAAAAGTACTTAGCTTTACTAAGTCTAGAAAATAGTTGTCCTTGGTCAGGTAGGGGTTCAGGTTGGAATTCCGTCACCCCATTTAGTTGCCTGTAGTCAATGCAAAGCCGATGCTCCCCACTAGGTTTCCTTAGGAGCACAACACTAGCACTATAAGGTGATTCAGAAGGGGAGATAATTCCTTCTTGCAAAAGGTGAGCAATCTCAGCCTGGAGGGCTTCCTCCTTAGCATAAGGTATAGGATAACACCTCTGTCTGACCGGTTCCGTACTGGTCAGTTTCATGTCAAACTCGACCAGACTTGTGCGACCCGGTTTGTCTGTGAGCACTGCTGAGTGTGCAGTTAAGACCTCTCTTATTCTTTGTTGTTGCGAATCCAACAGGATGGGGTTTATTTCCACGTCCTGAGCTGTTTCTCGAGGTTGTAACGGGTACTCGACCCCTGCAGCCTCTCCACATTCGACCTCCGTAGCTACCGCAAGTGTCATCAAGTGCACCGGGGTAGTGTCTGTTCTTTCGAAATACTTTCGAAGCAGGTTTATGTGGAAGACTTTCAGTTTTCCTCTTTTGGAGATCTTATAATTGGTGCGGGACACCTTCTCCACAACCGAGTAGGGCCCTTGCCAACCAATCTCCAGTTTATTGCTGCCACTTGGCAAAAGTAACATGACCTTGTCTCCTGGTTCTAGGAACGGTCCTTGGCTTTCCTATTATAAAGGGCAGCATGTTTCTTGCGGGCGGCTTTCACATTTGACGTTGCCAGTTTCCAACCCATTTCCAACTTTCCTTTCAGTTCCTCCACATACTTGGAGGCTGTCACTACAGTCTCTTCCGCCTTCTCTTCAGTCCACGTCCTCATTAGGGCTTCCAAGGGCCCCTTAATAGGTCGTCCGAATAGAAGAGTAGCAGGTGGGATTCCCGTAGATCCATGGGGTACCTCCCTGTAGGCGAATAAAGCCGCTGGTAGGTACTCATCCCAAACCTCT